GGATGGATTGCGGTAGCTCAGACGATTTAAAGATAGGTGTACGATGGTCCGGGTTTGAAACCCTCACTGGAAGTTCTTGAACATAATGAGTTGTTTGATGATTTTTTGTAGCTCTCCATCCATTTAATCCTGTTGTGTCGGAGATGGAAACGCAATCACAGACAACACAGAGTGTTGATAGGAGCGTTAAACCCTTACATGCATTACTATCAACTGCCCAGTTAATGCCACTATTAAATTTTTTTATTAGAAGGACATGCATCCAGATGGCTAAGAACAAAATGGACATTTTTAAGATAATGTAATAGAAAGGAGAGAGTAATAGATATTTTGGAACACTTTTGACGCTGAGAACAGGAAAGTACACACTCTTTGCACCCCATTCCGTGCCGATGGTATTTAAATAGCACACTAATCCAATAAAAGGCCTTTAACTCCCCCGCTATTTAAAAAAAAACGCTGTTGCTTACTTATACACCGCAACTTTTCCCTCTTCCCATCAGTATCTCAAATGCCGGTTCGCCGACCAAGGTTCCGGCACCCCCTCCCTCAAAAAAAAAAACCAGACACAAAAAACAAAAACGGCCACAAAAAGATGATTCACGCAACGAATATGATCGTCCAACTAACAGCGCCATGAAATGTTCACCCTCACTGCCTGGCTATCTGGCTGTGACGTAAAGTTTCTCAGAAGCATCTGTGAAAGTATCGAGTTCCCAGCAACGCAATACCGGAAATGTCGCTTGTCTCAAATATCTGCTGGTCCCACTCCATAGATTTGTTACTTCTAGACAGCGCACTATCATGGCCTCCATCTAGTTTTCATTCTCTGTTGAAACTTTATTGAAAAAGCGTACTCTAGTGGGTGGTTGGTAGGTGCTCTGATGTGGTTTGCTCCTTCTTCCATACCAAACATCTATCACCTTGCTCTGTCCTCCTTTTTAAAAAAAATGTTTGTTACTCTCTTCAACACTTCTAAACTTTTGCACTTATATGACTTAATTGAGTTGCAAGTGCCGTAAAACGCTTGCAAAAACAAAATAACCAGATGACCGAAAAAACAGCCGTCTTGTTGTTGCAAAGTGCGAGCGGCACTTTTACTTTCTTACCCTTCATGTGGCTCCGGTGACCTAGTGGTTAGGCTCCCGGACTCAAGACCGTAAGGTTGAGGGTTCGAATCACGTCAGGATCAGGGGTCCGATGTTGTGTCCTTGGGAAAGGCACTTTACTTTTACACGAATTTTCCTCACTTCACTCAGAGGGAGGTGTTTAGCCGCGTGTCCTCTAAGATGAAGGATCCCGCTCACCCCAGGTTGGCCCTGAACGGCAGCATAGACGTTCACCAAATATGTCATGACGTGGTGTAATCAAGCGCTCGTCAGTTTTTCTCCATGTGGAGTTATTGGTATCATATTAAAGCGAGTTAATTTGACTATCTTTCGGTGAAAAAATACAGATCTTGCTTGAATGAAAGTGGAGATTTTGGCGACTGAATGAGATGGGGGTAGCCTGATTTTAGCGGTGTAACTAGAGAAAAAATGACAATTTAGGTTTGTTGATTTGCAAAGCGTGAGAGTCCTTGGAAGCTTAAAAATTACATTTGTTGTGCCTTAAATCAACATTTTTCAGGAAAATCTTCCCAGAAACGTTTTTATAAGGATATAAAAGGTGGTGCGCCAAAAAAGCAACAATTCGAAAAAAAAAAAGTCAAACTGGCTGGAAAATGCCAATCCTCGTTTTCATTATTTTGACTAGCGTCTGATTTCACCACGATGTCTCACAAATAATGTCTCGTAGTTCGGTGCTCGTAAGGTTGTGAGTTCGAATCCTGCCAGAGGCCTTGAGGACACACTTTTCCTCTACCAATCTCGAAAATCTTAACGCTTTTCGCCTCGTGTTGTTGATATGACCTTATGCAGTTGCGAGCGCCGTAAAACACATTTGCCAAAATAAAGCAAAAAAACAAAACAACAACAAATAAAAACAAACAAATAAAAAAATCCTCTAAAATAGGACAAGTCTTATTGTGAAGAGCATTTTTTTCCCTAGCTGTACCAAAGATGTCTGCAATGAAATGGTCGCTTTTAAGGGGGGGGGGGAGGTTCCATAAATCTTGACCTACACTAGAAGTAGGCATTGTCCTACGTATAGGAGACATTTGGTTACAGTAGTGTGTACATTTGTTTGGTTATAGAGAAAACTCTTCTTGTCTTTTAAAGAAACTGAACAAGGGGCAAAAACTTAAACTTCAATTTTCTCAAGACAGTATTTTTCGAGATAGCCCCCTTGTGCTTAAAAGCGACTAAATCGAACCTACGAAAGTACAGACGTTGCAGTCTGCACGTGCCTTGTCGTGCCACCAGGCGGTAAAGTTTGGCTGAAGCTCAAACCGTCTCGGAGAAAAAGATATGAGCAATTTTATGATCGAGAATAGCGCTCTTCCAGATCCCGGAAAAAGTATTTTCGAAAAAGAAGCGCCCTACCCACCCACAAAACCAGGCTGAGCTGAACATTCGTAGAATGATATTAAAAGAAGAGAGAAAAAAAAAAGGAATTTAGTGTTTATGATTGTGTTTGTGTGTGTGTATGTGTGTGTGTGTGTGTGTGTATGTGTGTGTGTGTGTGTGTGTGTGTGTGTGTGTGTGTGGGGGAGCGGGTGTCTGTTACTCCCACGATTTCCAACTCTAACCTTCTCAATACTGTTTAAGTTTAAAACTGTACATGGCGAACAGACCGACTGATGGAGATATAATTACGTCATTATCCTCCTCATAGTGTGCGTCACGACGCGGTGGAATCAGGCGCTCGTCAAATTTTGAGTTATGGAGTTATTGGTTTCATCTTAAAGCCTGTTGAGCTGTCTTCCTTTTGATGTAACCCCCCCCC